CCTTCAGGGTTGACAGGCCAATTTCCAAATATGGTCCATAATAAACAAGACAGACATTCCTGGCACTAAAATAACATTTTCTCTGTTCATTAGTCACGTCCCCAGGCCACTCTTACATCTCTTATGCTTTCCACTTTAAATTTTTATTCTCACAAAAAATAGAAGATTTACTGTTATGCAGACTACTGCATTAGTGTAGCAATGGTGTAGAAATGGTATAAATAATATCAGCGCACTTGTAAAAGAATATTAGACTCACCAGTTGACATGTATTGGATGCTTGGCATGATTTGTTTACTTTTGAACTTTGGTAAAAATCGAACATTTCTGCTACTTTGAGCTCAATTTCAAGATACTTTTCATTATGAAACCAATAAAAATCATCTCAATTTCTGTAATACGTCTTCCATTCTATAAAATGAGACCAGGAAATCTAAAATACAACCATAAATACCATACGAAAATACACTGCAAATTCGCTGTTTTAAACAAAAAACACAGTTGGAGTTTTTTTTCTCATTATGCACTGTGTGTTGCAGCATTGTTTTTATACTGTGCACACTGACCACATAGACCCATTCTTTCATATGTAGGCCTACCAGCTTTCTCTCACTAGATTTGAAGACGCTAGAATTTAGGCGTACTAGTATGTCAATAACCCTGGTGCATAAGCCGTACTAGTACGTTGGAAACCCTGAAAGGCTAATCTCCATGGGGAAGTGAAACAGAATTCTTCCTCCATAAGCTGTGTGTGTCATAAGAGGCGATTAAAATGCCGGGAACAAGGGGCAGGTAACCCCTTCTCCTATATATATTACTAAATTTAAAAAAAAAAACTTGTGTTTTTCTTTTTTGGCCACCCTGCTTCGGTGGGATATGGCTGATGCATTAAAAGAAGAAATAAATATGAATTTCTTTTTCACATTATCTTTTCATTTTTGATGTCTAGTGTTAGTAAAACGTATAACATCTACAGTGTTTTGTATCATATACGACAATATTAATGTTGGTATTGACAAGACAATTCTTCTTGTAAACAGACAACGTGAATTTACGCTATCGATAAATACAGTACAGTACTGCAAATTTATTTTCTCTTCCTTGTGCTTTTCTTAATAACATTTTCTTTTCTCTAGCTTATTTTATTGTAAGAATACAGTATAAAATGTGTGTTAATTGTTTATATTATCAATAAGGTTTCCAGTCAACAGTAAGCTATGAGTAGTTAAGGTTTTGGGGAGTCAAAAGTTGTACTTGGATTTTCGGCCAAAAAAGTGGTCAGTACCCCTAACCCCTGCATTGGTCAAGGATCAACTGTATATATAAAAAGTGAACTAATGAGCTTCACTGCATCTTTAATACATGTGTAATAATATCTTTAAGATGGCAATTATCTAGTGTCACTGAGCACAAAACCCACACTAGGTAGATGCTACAATCATAGTTCTGTGTATAAATACACTCATAAAAGATACAGTATATCTATCAGGAGATTTTTATTCAATCAACATACCTCTCGGCAATTTTTGCAAGATCCTGAAGTGCTGACATTCCTAATGTAGATTTTAATCCCTCCAGAGTCATGAGATCAGCCAACTGGAGACCCTTGAGCCCTGGTGGCAGCGAAGGAAGACCTCCATCTAATATTCCAGGGATTGTTGGCTCGCTTGTCCCTAAGGATCCGATGGAGCGTGGAATGGGAGTGATGGTGATTTCCGGCCTCTTTGCTAAATCTGCTGGGATTGTGTTGCCTTCCTTTTTTGTATTAACCTTTGGAACCTAGAAAGTAGTCACACAATTACACAAAAACCACAACACATGACAAGAGAGCTAATTATAATTATTTTTTGCCTACATCTCTTGTTTCCACCTAGACAAGTATACACAAATCTTTAATATTTACATAACCTGTAATTTAATAACATGTCTTGCAAATTCCAGTTCATTAACATGAGTTTTAATAGTGACTCATATCATTAAGTTATAATAATTTCTTCCCACAATAAATTTTTAATTCTTTTAAAGCCAATCAAGTGTTTTACTAAAAACCATTAACATAAAAAACAAATGTTCACACAAACGTCTTACAAATATTAAATTACAAATTTAATGACATCTACACATGGAGAAATATTCACTAAATCATGAAAAATACTGTAGCAAATTGTATACATAGTAACTGATAGTAAACTGGTGATCTCATCTTAAAATAAAATCCTCAAACCTGATACATATGCTTCACAACCTTTTCAAATATATAGAGTAATATAAACATGGTTAAAATTAAAATGTTTATTTCCTTGCAATGCTTACAGTGTGTGGTTTACATGTTATAAAATATTAACCCCTTGACTGTCGAAACCCCAAATCCTGAGGTGTCTCCTGGTGTCAAAAAACTTTTGAGAAACAAAAAAATAATTTTTTCTTACGAAATGATAGAGAATCTTTTCCCGATGGTAATGACACCAAAAGAATGAAATTTGATAGAAAACTTATGGAATTATGCTCTCGCGAAGTTAGCGACCTCGGCGTATATTTACAAATCGGCAATTTCACCCACTTTGAGCCCTATTTTTGGCTAATTCCATTGTTCCAGTTGACCAAACTCATAGCTATTTCTTTAGAACTCCATTTTTTCTATCGATTGAGTACAAGAAACTGCCCATTTACCGATTTCAACTACCCAATAACATGGTCAGAAATTTGCAATTTGGCCAATTTCACGCAAATTAAAAAATATGCCAAATTCAAAATAGGGTCCAGAATGAACAATGCAGACAGACATTCCTGGCTCTAAAATAACCTTTTCTTTGTTCATCAGTCATGCCTCAAGTCTCCTCTGATATTACTCATGCTTTCTATTTTGAATTTTTATTCAAACAAAAAATAGATGATTTACTGTTATGCAGACTACTGCAATATTGTAATAATTTTATAAATAATGTCGACCCATTCATGACTGTATATTAGAATGGCTAGCTGGGCATTTATTGGACAATGACATCATTTGTTTACTTTTGAACATCGGCAAACATCAAACATTTTCCTTATTTTGAGCTCCATTTCAAGGCTCTTCTCATAGTAAAACCAATCCAAATTACCTCTATTTCTATAATATGTTTTCCATTCTATGAAATGAGACCAAGAAAACGAGAATACAACCATAAATACTATAAAAAAATAGACCACAAAGTCGGCGTTTTAATTAAAAAAACGGTCGGAGTTTTTTTCTCATTATGCAATGCTTGCTTCAGGATTTTTTTTATATGGTGCACACTGACCACATAGACCCATTCTCTCACATGTGGACCTACCGGCTTTCATCTGCTTGATTTGAAGCCGCTAGAATTTATGAGTATATATACGTCAAACATAGTGGCTCGTAAGACGTATATATACGACAGAAACAGTCAAAAGGTTAATTATAAAGAAGGCCACTAGCATGCCTAAGCATTTCGGGTAGACTAATTGTAATTATTACTCTAAATTGACACAGGTTAGGGCATCTGAAAACAAAAGTTTGGTAACTGCAGTGATTAATCTGATTTATTATAGTGAAGTACATGTAGTACAAAACATAACAATATTACAATTAGTAAATTTAGTAATGGGAATGGTTTTGTCTTGGTATGATACACAGTTTCTATTAACCCTTTCAGGGCCCAGAGGCCAAATCTCAGAGTGACAGCCAGTGTCCAAAAATTTTAAAAAAAAAAAAAAAAAAAAAAAATTACAAAATTATCCTGTAAACAGTCCAAACGTATATATACATTTTTTCAACATTTGAAAGTATGTAAAAAAAGTAGATCATCTTTTTGTTTTTTTTACTTTTGAAAATGTGAAAAAGACTTGATTTTTTTTTTTTTTTATTTTTTAAAATAGTAAAAAAAGTAGATATCCTTTTGTACACAAAAGCATGTGAAATAGTCTGCTTGGACCGTTTACGGGTTAAAGATAATATTTTTTCTATAGACAAAATAAAACAAAAAAAACACCCAATCGACTTTCCAAGATATAGAGGCGTAGTTGACCCCAATGACCGGGTGGAGGCAACATCCATGACTTCACAAGTGTATTTTTTTATTTTACTGTTTTTTTCTTTTTTTTCTTTTTTTTTTCTAATTCTGTATTTTTTCCCATAATGTTTTGGGGCAAGGAGACCAATATAATGCAAAAGTATATACAGGGGACCCCAGTGGAAATAAGTTGACATTCCTTGATGACACGCCTTTTTTCTTGGGGGTTATCCTGGGTGCCAAACCCTCTGGATTAATTGTTTTTTTCGGTAATCCTCAAAAAGCCCACCAACAACAATCTCTCCACTTTTAGTAGTACACTGACTGTGGGGGCACAGCGCAGCAGGTGACGGGGGACAGCACAGCTGAGGTGGTACAGCAGCTGCACAGGTGATGGGATACAGCAGCAGCGAGGGGGTACAGCACGCGACTGTGGAAACAGCACACTCCAGGGAACAGCAGACAGCAGAGCTGACCGGGAAACAGCAACACTGCCCGTGGTACGCAGTAATTCGATAGTTTTTTTTTCACCCTTTTTTTCCCACAGGGTTGGCACAAAGTTTTCTTTGGGTCCATGGGGGCTTATTTAGCAGTTACAAGCACTAAAAACACTGGAAAAAAAATTTATCGAATGAATGCAGTATAGAATGTGGGGCAGAAGTTTGTGGTTATAAGGGTGGGGGCAGGAGGAAAGAGATGTTTGGGGTGGAAGAATGAAGAAAAGGGGGTTGATAAAAAAAAAAAGGTAGCTTTGAAGGTTTTTACAAAGCAAAAGTTTTTAAAAAGAAGAGCAAGTATATGGAATAAAAGAAAAAAAAGAGAGTGGTGAGAGATGAAAAAGGGAGCAAGGATAGAGTGGGAGGGGCACTGTCAAAAAATTTTAATGAAAATAAAAAAAATTTTGGAGGGTAAACAAGTTAAGAAACCTAGGGAAAATATGGATTTTTTGTCATTTAAAAACAGAGTAGGGGATTTTAAAAATGGGGAGAGGAGGTATTGGGGTGAGGGGGAAATTTTTTTGGGGAACTTTTAAATGTTAAGGAAAGAAACAGAGGCAGAATTTCATGCACTGGTCAGGGAGGTATACCACTTTTGGGTGAAGAAGAGCAAATGTAAGTTGGGGGATACGTGAGGCATTACGTAAAATGAAAGGGGAAAGCAGCTGGAACGATGGGATCATGACGAAATGTTAAAAGCGGGGGGGAATAGTTTTGGAGTGGTTGGGTACTTTTTTTTTAAAAAAAAAACCCTTTCGGGGCCTCCCTAGATCAACGGCGGGTCGGTGATGTCCAAACCGTAGATCTACGCCAAAATTCTAGCGCCGCAAATTTAGCCGAAAGCGCTATAGGCCACAATGGGGAAAAGGTCTGCGCCGTGGGTGTGCGCCAAAACAAAAAATTTTAGGCCCTCATGCATTGGGGGGAAACGCCGGCTCGTCCCCTTGTTCACCATCCTCGTCGCAAGTCAGCTCTCACTCCCCGGAAAATTTGGACTCTCCTCTTCCGTCTGATATTCTGACACTGAGGAAGGGGGAAATGAAACGAATTAAAACGGCTTTGAAAATTTAGTGACCAAAAAATAATGACCAGGAATCGAAAAATAGCAGAAAACCCCACGACCCCCTCGACCTTCACCTCTGGTGGGGCCCGTGACTCCTGGGGTTTTCCAAACGAAGAGAAAACAATTTTTTTCCCGGGCCGGGCCTCTGACTTCAGTAATGAGATGATTTTTTGACGTGGTTTGGGTAAATTTTTTCCCCCTCGACGATCTTTTAGTATGATATGAGGAAACATATTCACCAGTGAAGCGTCGGTATTTTTCGCCGCCACAGGCTGGGGGTTGTACCCTATCTGTGCCCAGGGGGAACCCGGAGTACTCCCGTGCCCACACCCCGTTTAGGTAGTGATAGTAGGATGATGGGGCACACTTGGCATGGATGGGCCACAGACTAGGGAAGGTTTAGTGGGGGTGGTGTGGAGGGCACCGCCATGTGGACTCGCTGTGCCACGCGGGAACCCATGCGGACTCTTTAGTTCAAGGACAAAACGAGCGCACCCACCACCTGCCCCAACCACCCGAAAAAACCAGCCTATGAAGTCCCCTAACCCCCACAAAACCCTATCTGGGATTGGGAGCAAAAACCCAATTTTTGTTCCCAGCCCTCACCACTTTTGATGACTCCAAAGGAATTCTACCTACCTGTCCCCCCGGAACCACGGCCAATGAACGGAATTCTTTTAAATTATTTTTTGCCAGCCATTGATGGGAAATTTTTGTCGGAAAGTAAAAGTATTTTCATAACCATGCAAATACAAACAATCACCACAGTCAAACTAACAGGTGGAAAGAGGACGTTCAAAATATATTTGCTTTTTGCAAAAATAATGCTTTTCCTCACGCAAACATAATAAAAAGCATACTGGTCCCAGATCCTAAATTTTTTTAAACCCCCTCCTTCAGTGAAATAAAACCAGTAACAGGTTTTTCTTACTGTTACTATGTTGCACTTTTCTACAAAACCAGGCCGACAAATGACAGGTTATACAAATTAGAAATGTTTTTCATGTATCTCAAACAAAAGTTCAGGGGTATACTTTATCCATTAAAAAATCTTATAATTGACGATCTTTGATTTTTTCAAAAGGGAGACTGTCATTCAAACATATATACCGGCAAGAGGAAAAACCCTTTTGGTTAAAAAATTTTTTGTACCTGTGATTTTTGACAGTGCCTGGTGTTGGATATTTTTGATCCCCGGGGAGT